CGGTTTATTGCGGAGATAACTACTTATGTAAATGAGTATATTGCAAGATGACATGACCGTTGCTAAGGAGAATCAAGAAAGAGAAAGGAAGAGAGGTTAAAATAAAAACAAATCTTAATAATGAAATGTTTCCACACAAACCCTAATGTTTTGCAGATCATTTAGCGGCCCACACGTTGGGAACCGCTGGAATTGAGTATTCAGAAGTGTCTCAAACTCACAGTGTGTGCGTTGCTGATCTTCTTGACGTCCCACTGCTGATCTCCGGTGAAAGTGAGGATAGAAATGGCTCCGTCCGAGCTGCCACAGGCCAGAATCAGACCGAAGTCATAGGGACCCCAACACACAGAGTTCACTGCAGAGACACAGAAGAACATATATAAAAACATGACAAAGCCTCAAGACATCGTAGCTAACAATGCTATTTACACCCGGTGTGTGTAGCTAACAATGCTATTTACACCCGGGTGTCCGTAGCTAACAATGCTATTTACACCCGGGTGTCTGTAGCTAACAATGTTATTTACGCCCGGGAGAAGTCACAAATAAAGAAATAAAAGTAAACAACTTGTACACAACACAATCCGAGCAGAGCTACCGACCTGATGACTCGTGTCCGCAGTACTCGTGCATCTTGTCCCAGCTGCCGTTCTCCTCCTTCCAGATGATGACTTTTCGGTCGTAGGAACAGGAAGCCAGGATGTTTCCGAACATGGGGTGAGCCCAGGCCACCTGCCAAACCGGACCCTCGTGGCTGCACAGACAGAGACGAGACATTTGGTGAAAATACTCAAAGTATGCAATACAAGAATACCAAGTGTGGGGGAAACTTCTGAAGCAATAGGAGTCAGGACTCAGAGAGACACGAGGAGAGCTGGAGCTTTGATGGCAAACACTGACGGTTTATTTGGAGCTTCGGCCGGAGAACTCACAAGACATGTCACGGGCCACGGTTTGACCACACGTTGAGATGCCACCATCAATTCTGAAGAGCCCTCCTGTAGCTGCAGGTTTTAACTAGTTCAGAGTGTAATAATCAACATGCTTCAATAGATAGACTAAACAGCTGAGGACACTGAATCATATTTGTTGTTGCTTATGGCTCGGGGTCATCTACACCCCGAAGAAGGATGTGTTCCAGGTGTCCCACAACAACAATAACTATCTCTGATAGAGAGTTGCCCGGTCACAAACTGGTAACAACAACACAATGCTAGGGCAGCCCCTCCTTAAGGGAGATAACGGCTGCAGTTGGGCATCTGCGTCAGAGGGCGAAAGGTAAACATGTATACAGAATTATTCCCCGACACTAAGAATGAAAGGGGGAGCTGAACTGTGATATCACTGTTAAAGCCCGGGTGAAAAAGTAGTTTCCAAAATGAATCATCCAACACAATTGGTGATTATTACAGGAGACAAACTCCCGAGCTAATTCAATAACTACAAGAAACATTAGACGGTCAAAAAATGTATGTAAAAAAACTGCATATCACTAAGGTAAAAGTAGAAATGAATCTTCCGAGACTGGCCTTAGATCCTGTTTTTAGATTAAGATATATTCATGTCCTTTTTATTTAATATAAACAGCATTTATTTATTTAAATGTTTGTTTTGCATAGGACAGTGAACGCACACTAAAACAAATACATGCCTGTAGTTCCCTTTGGTTTTAAATCTCCATCCAGAGTGTTTTTGAAGTAAAGGCTCAGGAGTTTGTTTCTTATTACAGGAGACAAACTCCCGACGAGAATAATACTGTACTACTTGATATCGAGTGGCTGCAGTTATTGTGCCGTGTGATGTTATGCAGTGTGTCTCTATGTGAAGGGAGGTGGTGGTGACGTGGTGTCTCACCCTCTGAGGTCAGCCACCAGGATCTGTCCTCCGTTTCTGACGTCGAACATCTTCACGGTGCGGTCCGAGGAGCAGGTGGCGAGGCGAGTCCCGTAGTAATCCATCTGGGCATCGTGCTGAAAGCAGAGAGAAAAAAGACATCAACACCCGGAAAGAGATAATCTACCCTTTCTCTGAGGTAGAAAATAAGAAGTGTAATTGGTTCTTTTCCGTTATTTAGCTTTAATTACTGTTCTGCAACCTGTCTACATCTCTGTGTATTACTACGTTGTTAACATTCAGAGATAAAAGTTAACGTGCAATTACTGTAGAGCACAAAAATATGATAATATTAGGGCCGGGACTTTAACGCGTTAATTCAGATTAATTAATTACACAAACATTAACGCATTTTAATCGCACTTATTTTTGCACCGCGGAACGTTTCTCACTGGATGAGTTTCAGGGGTACCGATTACACTGGAGCACCAACTAACGTTCATGACTTCAGACAACAACAAACCACAGTGAACAATAGTCAAACATGAACGAAGAAGCTGATGAGACCGCTTTGGTTGGCCCCGTGGATGGGACATTTTGTTTTAAAAAACGGACGGATGGAAGCGCCAATAAGAGCACGGTTGTTTGCAAATTATGCAAAAAGGAATTTGCGCATCACCGCAGCACATCAAGCCTCAAGTATCACCTCAATGCAAAACATATAGCAGCTAGCGTGGCAGCTAGCGTGGAAGCTAGCGTGGACGTTAGCCCGACTCGGAGTACAAGGACCCACACCCAATTCGCGTTGATCAAACAGTGGCCTATGCAACAGAGAGATTTTATTTTTCATCAGGATATTGGAAGAATAGGAGGGATTGAGGTCAATCACTGGCACTTTTTTATTTTATTTTAAATGGTACACTTTATGTTGAACTATTTATTACGTTGTTGGTGCAACTGGCACTTTATGTTGAACTGTTTATTGTTTTGGCCAAGGTTATTGAGAGAGTTGGACTGAAATTGATTAGATTTTTTAAATCAACTGTTGGTAAATCAACAAAGTCTGTTATGGCCTCTGAAGCAACAGAGATGTTTTCTAATAGTCAGGGTTTCCAATGTTCTGAATGTACTTGAAAGTATTGTGTTTTACAAAAAACAAAGTGTTATAGTTTACAGAAGGTCTAC